TTTTTGGAGCAAATATTTATTTATTTATTTCAAATGGCAGGCGTTTTGATAGATATCATTAGCCATTTAGCTGACTTCGGGCTTCACAGAGGGAAGGTCGAGGGGTGGGGAACAGAAGAGCGATTCACAGATGTAAAAGAGGCAGACAGACACAAAGGTAGAGAAAAAGGTAAGGTGAGTACTGTGGAAGGGGTCGAATATGACAACCAGGGGGGTCGTGGTAGTTTGAAGTCAGAAGTCAAATGCCGGTTAATAGACTTTTTTGCCGTATGAGTATACGTTGCCCAGGGTGCACCACATGGAGGTAAGTCTATCGCCCACCCCTTTGGAGTAAATATAAGACGACTTTGCTACATCTTCACAGCTATTGACACCTGCTGATTGGATGGATGAAGCGTGGTGTTTGGTGTTGCATAGGTTAACAAAGTAAGGTGAAAGAGGTTTGGAACATTGCCTGTCGCAGAAGTTGAGGCCTTTTAACGCACATTGTTGGGTCAGTTGTTGTTTTATTCACTCTATTTATAAACTTACCACTTGGGGATGCTGTGCGGGGGGCTTGAGTTAGCAGCAGGACATTGGACACTGCAGTGAGAGCATAGTCGCACTTTCTTGAGGCCGCTGCTGTAATTAATTCATGAGGACAAGGAATTAATGGATTTTAAGCGCCAGTTCATTGACCTCTACAAGGCTGTTTTCTCTTCATTTGTGTTTCTGCTGCCTATATTTTCTATTTATTTGGGGCTATGTCCACTTAATTCAGTCTCCATTGTCATATTCAAATTAATTTTTAAATAAATTCGTAATGATGATCTTCCAATTTAATCATTATTTTAGAATAATGGGCACATTGGGTAAGATTTGTCAACTGAATGCACTCAATTTAATTATCTTGTGTGAACTCTCTGAGATCTTCATTCGTTTTGTCTTCTTGCGCATTTAAAGTATCCTAAATGTGGACATGATTTTATTCAGAAACCGAAAGGAAAGCAACCGACATGTGTTCTGTGCCCTCTTCGACCAACTCTTATCTGTGAAGGAGCCCTCACTATCGCGGATTTGAGGGAAATAAAAGTCGCTGAACCTTCCGACGATCATGATAGGACAACACAAAGTCTTCTTCAAGCCCTCTCCACTTGTATCTCCCTTATCATAACGAATTACACAGATTGGTTGGTGCGTAGCGTATGCAATTTATCTGTCTCCTCCATATAGTCACTCTATTAACCGCTAAAATTTTACTACTCTAGAGTGAGGTTAAGAACCTGCTTGAGGAAGATGCGATCAAAATAATGGATTTCTTTTCAAGGCAGTCGATTGATTTTTTCAGCAAGCTACCTGAAGAGCTACAATTTGTTATGTCCGGTGATATGGACACTAAAGCTTCTGATGCAATATCTTCAAGTAGTAACAACGTTTCTGCCCTTGTGCTGTTAGTGGAAGGGATAGGTCTGTCATTTACTATCGCAATTCCGTCAGAATTACGGATCATGAGGAAACTTGTGTTATCATCTTAGGAGTCGCTGCTGGTGTCGTTTCTTGTTGGAGGGTAGTATTTTGTACAGACTTTCACCTTCGACCTTATCATGAAATAGTACTCGATGATAACTGCGATACTGATATAAAACCAAATTTTTTTCCTCTTTTCTGCAATTTTCTTCTACTTCTAAATGTTTGTGTGTGTATTTCTCTTTTACGATGTTTCATAAAGTGTATTTCTAAGGACTTTACTGTACTTTAAATCTAGCAGTTTTAATTGTTATTACCCATCATTTTGTTGGATTTTCATTTTCTCTAATGGGGTTGGTAACTTGTTGAGTTGTCTTACCCAGTAGTTGAATATGATGTCGTAAAACAATGAAGGCGGATTCAATAACGTTATTTATTTTGGACAAGCTTGGGTCCCACAGATAAGCACTTTAATGAATGTCTGTAAGGGTTTATGTTGGGACAAGGGCGTTAATTTAATCAAATAATTGGGAAAATAAAATATTTCTCAGGTTGTATCAAATGGCGGGCTTTATGATAGCTAACATAAGCCCATTGGGTTCTGTCGTTGTCTGTGAGGCTGGGCACCGAATCAGGCGGGGTCTTCCCCATTTCCTTCTGTAGATCACTGGGGGGGGGGAGCATGTTGGTCGGACGTACACTCCTATTCTGTGAAGATATTTCGCCGTGCAATCGTGTCTGGTAGGCAGTCTAATTTCTGTAACAGCTTCGATTCATGGCCAGTCGGCTATTTTGGAGAGTGACGCTGTCCACTGCTTCTCCTTTATTGGGCTTTAAGTTCGGGGCTTCTTAAAGTCTTGAATGCTCTCCTGATTAAGGTCTTCTTTGTGTGCAAAGATATTGCCCAGTATTTAGCTTGCAAAATATTGGCCTCCTTATTAGCAAGTGTATCAGCGTGCTCATTGCCTATAATGACAGTGTCCAGGGCTCCATTGAAGAACTATTGCTTTGTTTTTTCCTTTGAGCAGCTGAAAAGATTTTTACATTCATCTATAAACTAACATATATAAAACTTGAACTTTAAGTGCCACTTACACTTGCTCGATTTAAATAAAAAACAAAACATTATCATTATTTGACTTCTGAAAATTTGATAATAATTTCAGTACCGGTGATCGAAATTAAACAAGCGTAAATTAGTTTGGGTAATTATAGGCACACATTCGACAAGTAATTCAAGCGAGGAATCATGAAATTTGAATTTAGGAACCTATTATATATTAGGAAAATACTTTACAGTCTGCATCAAAACTCGAATTGGGTAAAACTTGGATGTCATGACATCTTCCATTCGCCTCTGCTTTATTATGTGTTCGGCAAATATTAAATGAATTTCGTTCACTTTACTGTAATAAAAATACAAGATTTTTTATTGCTGTGGGTTATATTAAAATACAACTTCAATCGTAATTATTATTTACCTTAAAATTTTATACAATGCGTTTAGTAAAAGAAGGCAGGTGGTTTTACGCGTCTTCAAGGTTATGCCCGCCTTGAAATATTGCTTAACTAAGCCTTAGACGGGATGATTGACGTTTACATAGCTTTTAAGCTCCCTGAGAAAATTCTGCAACGTTTAACCAAATTCGGTCTTAAATATGAGTGCTGGAGTGGTCCTGGTATTCCTCCAAGCCAACACCTTATCGAACGCTTGAAAGGAGTAAAGGGACTCATTTGTCATCCAGGAGTCAAGATTGATTCAGAGGTGTTAAATGCCGCTGGAAGCAGCTTAAAAGTTGTTAGCACAATGTCCGTCGGTTATGATCATCTTGATCTCAAGGAAATGAAGTCAAGGAATGTTCGAGTCGGGTATGTTCCTGATGTACTTACCGATGCCACTGCTGAGTTGACAGTTGGTTTGCTGTTAGCAGTTTCCCGTAGAATGGGAGAAGGTAAATTTATTACTTTATTTATTTATCTCTACAATTAGCCTCTGAAACTGTTCGTGCTGGAAAATGGGGAGCGTGGCAACCTTTCTGGATGTGCGGAAAGGAATTGAAAAATTCAACTGTCGGTATATTCGGCCTTGGACGAATCGGCAGAGCTGTGGCCACACGCCTTGCTGCGTTTTCCCCTAGCCGAATAATTTATGCCTCTTCGGGCAAACGTCCTGGTGGTTATCAATCAGTTACACTTTTCACTAAACCCGATGGAACTTCAGTTGTTGCTGAACCGGTTTCTTTCGACGACCTTCTGAAGCAATCTGACTTCCTCTGTGTTTGCGCTTCAATGTGCGAGGGATTGAAGAGTGCTTTTAATGAAGAGGTATGTTTACCTTCTAATGTCAACCCTTTTTTATTTTGTTAAGACATTTGGTAAGATGAAGGCAGGGGCGGTGTTTGTAAATATCGCTCGTGGTGCAATGGTTGATCAAGAGGCACTGTTCCGGGCTTTAACCAAGGACATTGAGGCTGGGGGCTTATGGGGAGCTGGTCTTGATGTTACCACTCCTGAACCTCTTCCTGCCGATTCACCACTTCTTAAACTTCCAAATTGTTTTATTCTTCCTCACATCGCCAGTGCAACCGAAGAAACTCGATGGTATGTTTTAATTTTATTTGTTTATCTTGTTTTGTGCTTGTTGCTTTGTTATGTGAAAACGCTCCTTAAAAATGTATTGCCATGTGATTAAATGAATCCAAAGTTCATGCTCAATTATTAAATTTGGTTGCAAATATTTGAGTTTTTTTGAATGTCTATGTTGAAGGCTTTGTGTCTTTGTTTACCTTTGTCTTAACATTTGCAACCTATTTAGCGGACAAATCAATATGCTAAGTTTGAATTAAATTATCAATAAAGTATTTTAATTTTTTTATCCTGTTAAATTTTACTAACCGATCGATAGCAAGTTTTATTTGAATTTAGAAATCCTTAATTTATTAGTTTTTTTTAAATGGGTAGATTTTAATTCGCTTTGGCTTCAGCATCAGGTCTACTTAGTAATTAATCGTTCGATATCTAACCAAATGTTCATACTAATTCACGTTTATTTTATCTTTCAGGTTGATGGCAGAACGTGCAGTGGATAATCTTGTTGCTGCACTCGCTGACGAACCAATGCCGTCAGAGTTGAAAGTCTAGAACTTTGTACCGAAATTACAAATGTCAGATACTAGTCATCACCATATTTCTCTATTCTGATTGTGGTCTGGAAATTCGATTACCTTTAGCCAATGATCCGCCCTTCTGTTTTTTCCTTAAAAATCAGAAATAAGTCCCTATTTGAATCACGTCTCCTACAACTTTCGCTCTCATCTAAGCAGCCACCAGGAGGAGGAGGGGGGGGGGGGGGGGGGGGGGGGTAAAATTTATAACCTCCATTCTCCCATCACTTTACCTTTTAAGTTGGCGAATTTAACAGGGATCTGAAGAGATCTTTTGTGCCTACAAAGGCAACGCTAGTGTTTCATACTTGTCAATCCCTGACACAAAGCAAATAGCCCATCTAAGCCAGCATCAAAAAATACTTGTGTAAAAGCTCCAACCAGTGCTCATAAGATTTAAAAAAATAAAAAGGAGAATCAATCTCTAAGTTTCAAATAATGGTAGATTTATAGAACCACCATTACAGGTGCGGCTTAAGTTATAATCACAATGGCCCCACTAATACAATAAAATAACAAGAGCGAAAGAAAAACAACGATTAAAGGGTATTTATATATAATGGGCTATTTCCCCATGTAATATCAACTAAATTCGCATTTGACAAAGAGGAAGTCGGCCTATCGCCAGCGAGGTGGCCGCTTCTGAACCTTGTTCTGTGGGGTTCGAGCTCGAAGGTACAATCGGCGTTTATGCAACACCTCCCGACTACTCTCTGGCAGTTCAGAGCCCTCCTCGAAATCAGGATTCTTCGGTCCCCCGAAGACTGGCATCTTTTCCTGCATTTCTGCAAGTAGATCCTCCTTTTGCGTCATCTAAGTAATAAAAAGAGATGCGTCATTTGACTGGTGATCTGGTGGCATTGACACTTTGAAGTGTCACTTTGGTCTGGAAACCCTTCGCAATACTAACGATTCCACTAAGGAGGCTGAGAGCCATTATCGAATAACAAGGTCAATGGTGAAATATGGCCAGTTGTTTATTGGATAACAGTGAAGGAACGGGGGGGGAAGAGGTGGGAAAAAGGAGTTGTAGGGGTCAAAACAGATAAAAAGTCACTGAGCAAATTAGGATACGTGGAGGGGTAAGTACCAGTAGCACCTCATTTTGGCATATATGCATTTTCGTGTGCTACATTATCTTCCAACCTAAGCCAGCAAGTCAATTTGTCAAAAATACAACTTTATTCGGTGAGTTCTACAGTAGAGACGTTGAGCAACGAATGCTGGGGAGGGGGTGGGGGAAAGGGGCGAGTTGGGAGGAGAACTGACAAATACCCATAAGCATGGATGCAATGGGCAGAACGTCTGAACATGAACATAATTCCCACTACGTGACAAATCGTACGCCATATATATTAAAGAAAGCTCAGCGAAAGAAAATGCAATTATTATTTTGTATCCACTTGTGTAATTCCAGTGATGGATAAATGCGCTTCTAATACCGATAGCACAACGATTGACGCGCACTTCAGTGAGCAGGATGACCAACCGTTTTGGTTGTTAAACTAGAAGGAAATCGACTTCCCCAGTGAGGAAACTCCATGACGATATCTAGCCGCGAAAAGAGGCAATTAAAAAACGTTTTTTTCGAAAAGGGGTGGAATTAGAGCCATTACTTTCCCAGTCGGAATGCATGAGTGAATGAGTTCCCACCCTTACACTTTGAAAACAAGCGAAAAAGTATAAAGTCAGATCGGGGTGTGCGATAGACTTATCTACGTGGTGCACCGCGGCCAAAGTATACTCATACGGCAAAAAAGTCTATAAACCGGCAGTTCACTTCTACATTGACCCGACTGTATGTCATATTCGACAACTTCTACAGTACTCACCTCACCTTTTTTCTACCTTTGTGTCTGTATGGCTCTTTTCCATCTGAGAATCATTATTATGCCCCCTCCCCCTCGACATTTTGTCACTCTGATGTTCCTTCCCCTATGTGAAGCCCCGAAGTCAACTAAAGGGCTAATGACAACTATCAAAACGTCTGCCACCACCATTCGATATAAATAAATAAAAACTTTCTCGGTCGAAAAGGTCTCGAGAGAGGCAAATCCTCTACTTAGGACGAGTGCAGATTCATTATATGGCAGGACACCAATAAACAAATGCTGAAGCGAGGAATGTCTGCCCGTGGGTCGGAACAAAAGTTGTTCCCGATCCGTCGTTGACTTGACATTCGAAGATGAATTATACAAAAGGAGTCCATTCGTTTAAGTGGTCTGTCTGTTTAATTAGATGCACTGAAATTAACTGCACGTCTATCATACCCAACCGTCCATGTTGAGTAGTAGCCCTAACGAGATCTACTAGGCGCAGAGTTCATAGGTGGCAGAAGTAAAGTTCCGAAAGGACAAAACAGACCTTATGAAACAAAGATAACCAACCTTAAGGAAGAAGACTTCGTTGGGATGAGGCAGAGGATGAGTAAAAACGCGACCAGGGAGATTGCGCCGAGCAATCTCGTCACTTTCCGAAATTCGAAGAGCTTCGCGTTCAGCAGGCGTCAGATTCGCTCCCCCACTGACACCGTCTTCGAGACCGGAGGAAACCGGTTCTGTCTCCTCGTCAAGAGAATCAGAAATGAGTCGAGCTGGTATCTTTGTAGTGCTGCTGGATTCTGACGGGATTGGGGGATGAAGCATCACGAGGGACAACAACTCCAATGCCTCAGGATTTAGAGCATGACTTTAAATTTAAAAAAGATTAGTTCAGACAAACGTTTGAGAAGCACAAAGATACGATTTTGTGACGGAATGTAAGATTTTGCCAATTAGTACTAAATGTGTCGCGATCTCCCAGTTTTTCCACATGTTAATATTTTTGCATCTGTTGTTAAAACAGATTCCTTTTGTAATTCAATAAAAGTGTAAAACCAATACTGAAGGATGTCTATCAATTTTAATTATTATCCCATAATAAGTCAATTTCGAGCTGCCCAGGACATCTCACATCCAAGTGTTTCGTGAAATGTCTTGAAGTGCAACTTCCATTGTGCAAGGAAAAAGGCGCGGTGCACAGCATGACAGTTTAAGTGAGATAATTCAAGAAGGAAGTCTTTGATGAAAAGTATGCGGAAGTCATTCATGTAGACTAATACCATTCATCCTAACAGAAAGCAAATACTTGCAGACCAGTAAGGAATGGAATCGATGACATCGCTTTCTTTATGCTTCACATTCAATTTCAGAAAAGATCTGTATAATGAAAATCAGCACAAAGATAGCCCAACACTTAAGTCGTACTCACATTGAGGTTTGAATTAAGAATGCAAGGTCGAAAGAAACTTCTTATTTGAAAAAAATAAATAATGGAAATTCAAAATCTTACATTGTGAGCATTCACCATACAAATCTAGTGTAATGCATACAAGCCTAAGCATTCCTAATTGACGATAAGTCAAGTCCATCTAAAGTAGTATGTGGCGTACGTGGTGGACGACATGAGGAACCAAAGCGACATGACGACAATCCCCCCAACCAATCAGAAAAGCTGCAGTATTTAACCATCCTTTTTTAAAAGTATCTCCTTCCTGACCGGAAGAAGAATCAGCTAATGTCCTAGAAACAGCAAATACTCTCCCAAAAGCTCAAGTGAGCTCCTAATGACGCAAATTGTGTAGACCCTCTGAAATATCCATGCTCCCTTCTTCCCAAATACATGTGTTCAGATACTCATTCCTTTACATAACATACCTACCCTCCTTAAGCCACATATTATACTCAGATATGGTAAACAAAATGCACTTTTAACCAACAATTAACAGTGTTTCGCATTCCACTAACTCCACCGTTTAGTCTACCAAAACTTGGCATTCATTATCTTGGATTCACAGGTGTATTCGCGACAAATTTCCTGCCGCCCCTAGCATTTGTAACAATCGTGGCAAGACCACAGATACACCCAACTTCAAGCGAATCAGGAGATTAAGGACACATTTGCCATTTGTTTAGACTATGCTACTGCATGCTAATTTCATGGGGAAAAAACGGGCAACTTACTCTTCGTCAAACATGGGGATTCGGGGTGAATGCCAGAGGAGATTGAAGGGGTCGCCAGCATCATCTGCTTTCCAGAGCCCGCTCAGAGTATTCAATTGGTAAGCTACCAGTTGCCAGGTTACAGAAGCAGCATCGAAAAGAAGTAACTGCACAGAAAAGGGATGATCAAGTTCGTTGTATAGGGTAAAACCTACAAGAGCCGAAACAGGAACAAACTCATTTTGACGACAATTGCTAACTATTCGTTTTTAGAATAAGGCTGCAAATGAGTAATTTAGGTCTAAATACCTCAAATTCACCCCCCCCCCCCCCCCACTCATACAAATGCAGTATGTTCAGTAGCCATTTCCCTATCTACTTCATACCCAACACTGGAATATCAATTGATGCATTAATAGTCAAGAGTTACTATTCTTACCAGCATTGTAGGCCATAGCACTGGTCCAGGCAAACGCAGTGAGAGCCGCGTTAGAAATGGCATCTCGAGACATCGACTGCGTAGAAATTTCCTCATATATTGTGGAGGAGAGACATTGTTGTTCCGATGAAGGAGTCACGTCAAGAACACCCACTAAACCAAACTGACAGGGATCATCCTCCATCTTTTGAGGCAAAAAAGGACTCGATGGCCAAAATCCTTGAATAGGTCAAGAAAACAATCGAAATGTTACTGAAAACCCTCATTTTAGTCGGCAATATTAACACGAGATATTACCAGCGACAGAGCGAATATACTCAGGAGAACGAGCATTATTGACAAATGGAATACAACTGAAATCATAATGATCAATGGGGTCGAAACCAAACACTTCTGGACGGTAGAGGCGACCATCTTTTGGAAGATTATCTTCATAACAGACCTTGTCGGATCTATCTACAAACTAAAAATAGGCAAATACAATAAAAACAATAAGATTAACTTACAGAAGGTAAAGGAGAATCAGAACGAAGAGCCCAAGCTAATCTTCCGCAAATTCGGAAACGGAGAAGCTTTTCTGCATCCAAAACAACTTCATCAGATCTCTCCCAAACTCCTTCTGAGAGACAATCCTCCTTTATTTTCTCATCATTATAGAGATCTGCAAAACCGGAGCGTTTTAAAAACGTCTCCACTTTAGCACCGACGGATAACTGGGTAGGTCGGTTCCGAAGATAACTATTCTTATTGAATTCCGTCAAACTGATGTAGACACACTCCATCAGAGAGCCGAGAAACTCCTCCCTTTCCTTGGGAGTTGAGTCAGGACGGATTTGAGACGTCTTTAGGTATTCTCCAATACGAAACCGAAGAAATTTGTTATTTACTTCTAGATGTTTATTGTATATGGGATTAAGTTCAAGAGAACTACGCACATTGGTTCGTGTGATATATTGGGTAAAATCAAGGGTGTCTGTACAGTCGAGAGGAAGATTTAGGCGATGATACCAGAGATTGTCTTCATGGTAATAGAGTTCAGCGAATTTATCATGAAGCGTTGGAAATTTGTTCAAGTGCTGAGCAATCTTATGACTAAATCATGATATAAATAAAATTCAAGAAACAACCAACAGCATTTCAATGTTTAAACTAATTAAAAACTCACAATTTTTCGTTAGTTTTAGCATCGGTTGATCCCCATGATCCAGGAATCTGAGGTGGAAACAAACCGTTCATTGTCGGATACTTCAAAGGATCCTGATCATAAAAAGGCATATTGTGGAATGGAGGTTTAAATTTCCTACGCCTCCTCTGGCGATCATGAGCAGGTTGCTTTTGATTAATTGAAGAAGTTCGAAAACTCCTGCTCAAAATCAGTCGAGGAAATAAACGATACTGAAGCATGACTACTGGGTGATTAGTGCAGCCACAATGACTTGTTTTTTTGGTCAGCGTCTTAGGATACTTGAAGGCAAGTTCGTTTGGTTTAAATGTTAATTTATAATAATTGCAGGATATAATTTATTTAAGTAATAATAATAATTATTGAACTGCAACCAACGTTATAAACGATAAAAATCTTTATCTTTATTAATTACCACTTCAAATTAGATACATTTTGAGCAAATTTGTTAATGCAAATTACAGAAACATATTCTATTGAAGAATTGGTTAATATTTTAATGGGGTTAACAGACATGAGCTTTCTTAATTATAATGCTTTTTATGTTGTTGTAACTTAATCCCTCAAATGATTTTAAGTACCGCAAGCGTATATATCGATTCTGAGCATCGGTAAGTGAATACATCTATGCCTTTTAACTTAAGGGTATCGGTGTTTATCGATTCTCCTACACTTCCTTAATTCATAAATAAATTATGGGCCTCTAATCAGGTATTATTTTAATATACACTTGATTAAAATCAATTAATGATGATTCTAACTTATGGCACTGCAATGCGCGGTCAAATCTTCTTTGGACTTCAGAAAGCAAATGTTTGTCATGAAAGTCCATGTTGCTCAAGAGGAAACAAATTTTGTAAAGGCATTTAAACAATGACTAAAATGTAAAGAGTAACCTTATTCTTTATTGATATTAATATTGCAATTTACGACTTAATTACAATTCGTCAGTATACACGGAATTCCAATCTCGCAGAAAGACTTCTTCAAGTTCCTTTCGTAAGCATTTAGCACTCTTTGAAGAAATATGATCTTCATCACATTCTACAACGAATCCTGCGCCGCCAGCAAACTTAAAGTAATCTCCAGACCAGTTCGAAGTTCCTTCAAATTAAAGCAGAGGAGCTTCAAATTAGTTTCAAATAAAGATTGCAAAAATAATAATTTACAGAGAAATAATCTTACCGACATATAAAGTTTTATCAGTGACCATGTATTTGTTGTGATTAACACGAGAGAATGGAATCGCTCTTTGTTCCGGAGTTTCCACTGGTACCACAAAGAATCTCTATTTTTAAAAGCATTAAAATCACCATTTATTATTGTCCTCTATATGAATAGCAAGAGAAAAGGTTTTCTTACGATTCTAAGTGATGCCCCATTGACACCATGTAGAGTACGGATTGCCTTCATGAAATGACGGAGTTTTGGCGAAGTGTGAGCCCAATGGCTGACCAGAATCCGTACTTCTACACCGCGTTCAAAGGAAGCTTTTATTAAGGCATTCGACAAGTCCGGCCAATATCTAAGTGGAGAACAATAAGGTTTGTACTTCTTAAGGCGGAAAATAATTCCTAGCATATATTTTATCATGGCCTAATAATCGTTTATTAAAAGATGGGTCTTTCTTTCAGATAGGGGCTGAAAATTTCAACTTCTGTTCACGTATAAAGCCTTTTGTTTTACAGCACTTATCAAACTATTGACGGGATATTATTACTGGAAGAATATAAATGATAGAAATTCCGAAGCAAAATAAAAGAGTCATATACTTGAAATTAGCATAAAGTTTTTTTTCATAGGTTTAATGATTTAGATTCCAGCTTAACCTCACTTAACTTCAATCAAAACTTAAATATTATATAATTAGTATGCCATACTGCAATTTATCGGGGGGAACTAGTAAATGAGACAAGTGTTTATTAAAGCAGCTAGAATGTGGTAGAACTTTAGTGCTCCAGATACCAAGTGAATCCAAGCTCCGTTTAGTTAGGAATAGCTGAAATCTTAAAGTCTAATCCTCTTACGTACGCGTCTGGCTTTCCAGAATAAGATTTGACAGCTGCTTGAAAATCCATCACTGCAACATACACAAAGGATTGAGCAGAATCGATTATGTGGAGAATTGCCTCCAAATCATCCTCTCTCCCTGGAGGTCTGAAAGCAGGTGGTGACATCTAAAAAAAGACAAACACCAAATATCCGCATGAACAAAAGCATTATATCACTTTATGACATACAGAAATGTAGACGTTTGCTGGAACACCATTGAGAAGCAATTTCATTGGATTTGTTCGGTTGTAGATTGCTGTGAACTCGGAAGTCCAATTAATAGGAAACATAATCCCCGGTTCAGCAACATGACCAAACGCTCCAATAATTTTTGAAAGATCGGTTGCGAGCCTTGGACAGTCTTTGAAGAACACCCCCAATTCCTTTACCTTTTGAAGCGAATATAGGGAACAGCAGTATATTAAGCCATGAGCCATTTTATAAATATTACGCAAAATCTAACAAAATTTGAATACTTCTTAAATACCTGCGTCAAGGATCTCCAGTCCATGTTAGCACTCCCAAGATAACCGTGCTGATTATCAACGGTCCAGAGTTTGGCATGTTGAACGCCAGTTGAAAGCAACTTGGCGACATCTAGATACTTCACCTTTGCACCTAGGATCGATAAAGCGACGAATATTATTACCACCTAGTCTTGTTAACTAACGATGACCCCCCTCTCTCTCCTTAGACGGATTTAATATTGGCTGTTTAAATTTCCATAATCGATAGCCGAAATAGCCCCAAGGAAGCACTTTATTATTCGTTTTCTAGTTTTCTTATTTTTGGTCACGGGGTGTATGACAGACTTAAATCCACGTGGTACACCCTGGGCAACATATACTCATACGGCAAAAAGCCTATTAAGTGGCAGTTGACTTCTCACTTCTAACTACCATCACCCCACTGTATGCCATATTCCACCATTTCAGCAGATCTCGCCTTACCTTTTACTCAACATTTTGCCTGTCTGTCTCTTCTACATCTGTGAATCGCTCTTCTGTCCCCCCCCCCCTCTCGACTTTCTGTCTCTTTGATGTTCCCCCCACCTCCTCTTCTGTGAAGCCTGAAGTCGGCTAAAGGGCTAATGATAACTATCAAAATGCCTGCCATTCGAAATAAATAAATATTTTTAGTCACTAGGCTTTGTGATTTAGTAATCTCGGGAATTGGATTAAGACATCTCAAGTTTCAAGATAATCGATTTATTAGGTTGAAAGCAATGGTCATGCAATACAATAAAGTTATTGTGTCAAATAACTTTAAAAATGCATAGAAATATAATTCTGCACCTTTCCGTCCGAATTTAACTAAGAAATTGGCATATAAATTTGAGTACAAATTTACCATTTCTTGAGAAATTTATTAAATAAATCGAAACCAAGTTGGTATAATTGGAAATAAATCAATTACTGCATATTATGAGACAGCATTAAAAGTATTGAGGATTTATGCTGAAGTATCATACCTGCAGCAATAAGTTGGTCCAGATCATTGTCCGCAGTTTGTGGACCACTTGTCACAATGGTAACATTGACTTCTTTGCTTTTCTCCAATAATTTCTGAAATATTTTCTCACCCTAAAATTGAGAGAGAATAGTATTTGCTTCCAAAAGCAGGCCTCTTTTCTTTAGTACCTTCTCGGGATGTGTGTGTGAGAAGG